ACATCATACAAGCATAAAATGACCGCCAGAGTCAGGAGCGGAGTTTGAAAGGGAGGAAATGGCGGAGTTTTAAGCGGGCGTTTCTGTAATTAAAATGTTTCTGTTCATCGGATTTATAATATGTGTAATTTAGGGCCCTCGCAAGCACATCAAACTATTTTTTAAAGATCTCGATTAAGGACACTGACTTTTTTTTTGTGAAAGGTTAAAGTTTTTCCTAATAGAATGCTCTATAATTTCTATAATATATATGGACGATTAACAAGTACTATATTAAAAAATCGGCCCCAAATAGACGGTCATAAAAAATATTTTTTTTACTGTAAAAATCTGTTTTTTTTTAGAAATCTTTTTACATTCAAGTTGTTTAACATATCATCTATTATCCTACTTAATTTTGTAAGATAATATTAATACTTTGTCATAAATATTCTTTACTCAAAACCATCGGTTTCACAAAAAAACCAAGTCAAAAAAAATTGTTTTAAAGTAAGGTTTTTTGAAATATATTTAAGATATCCCCCAAATTATTTAGACGTGTCTTTATTTATTCAAATCTTCAACAAAATGGTAGATATGGCATTTAGAACACTTGGCCCTTATCGTTACACGCACAACGTTTGGATACCCTTTTGGGCTTAAATCCCCGCTTTTCAGAGAACTTGCAAGTCTGTCTTTGGCGCTTTAATATGCTACCAAGAGCAACTTAGGCATGTGATCCCTCGGCATAACTGCTTCGGGTATGCATTGGTTCTGCCTCAGTTACTTGTACAGTATGTTTTATACTCTTTACTTTAACAAGTAAAGAGTGAGCAAGCCTGCTTTTAAAGTCGGAATGAACGAGTACATCCCGATTGCACCCCCAGATCGTGAAGCAACTGAAGGCATTAGCTTCCGCAATACCAAAGACGAACGACAAGAAACGAACTTCCCAACGGTAGGGTTTTCATAATATCATAAAAAGAGATCATGTTGTCTCTGCTATTGTTGTTCGCATCGATACTGCCTATAGTAAAAAAAATGTATGAAGTAAACTATTATTTATATTATACGGCTTTATATTACTCTTATGACTTTCATAATCATGAAACACTAGGCGACGGGTGATTGTAACAATCTGTCCATTGATTCCTTTATACGTACGTGGTACGTTGGATGTCATTGAAGTGCTACAAGATGATAACAAGACCTTAGCTTACTTATTCTTGAAGGCATATGCGAAGATGTGGTGACCATGGTGATCCGACTTTGACATGGCAACATAGCTACCACGTTCAGTACGGAGACACTGGATGATATCATTGCGAGGCATACCTCGAGGCTAGTACATTCTCTTGGCTACCTGCATAATTGAATGCAATCCATGGTCTAGCAAAACACAAGTCATTTCGGGGGAGCCAAACCAGGAATCTCCAATAATTGGTCTACCGTTGAAGAACCAAGGCTCACATAAACGCTTCAACGTTGCAATCAAGTTTCTATCTACATCGTCATACTTCTTCTTCACAGGATCCCTTACTGTATCAAGTATCGACAATGCAGTAAGTGTCATGATCAGCGAGCGTCTTGAATTCTTGGCCGATGGGGTGAGGTTTTCTAGGAACCTTCTTCAAATTGGGCATACCACTACCGAGCCATTGGTTCATACTTTCGTCCACACAGAGATACCTACCAGGAGTCAGAGCTTTGGCTAATGTCTTATTGAAAGCATCCAAGAATCGGCGAATTTGATACCGTGGATCCAAAAGTTGTTGGGCTTCGCTGGGTACTTCAAATACATGGAATATCAAAATAGCAAAAAACCTGTCGTATTCCATATACTCGGTGAAGTTAATATTAGGCATGAGATGACTTTAACCCATGTGTCAATACGCCCTTTTATCAACATGGTGCTTACAGTCTTGTTCATTAACAGAGCTATCCATGTTAAATACTCGACAAACGTAACACTGATCCAAGTATTCATGATACTCAAAGCATGCTGGTTGATGTTATGAATCACAACATCACTGATAAACTCCACAGGCAAAAAATAAAGAAAGTACTCGGCAGGACTAACAGTTAACTTGTTCGAAAGATTAAATGTGGCCTTATTGGAATGATAGTCCTTTCCAGAGGTCAGACGTGTATCCATTGTAACCTCACCCATAATCCAGTCATCTTGATTTACAGGCCTAATCTCCTCTTCCTCTTCGCTGACCTGAACATCCTCCTACTCCTCCTCCTCCTCTTCAACGGCAGCAGTAGTAGTAACAACCGTTGGTACAACTCTAAGCCCCTCATACTTAAGAGGACTCCCAAACAAAGTGAAGGTATGGTCAGGACATTCGTCTAGTTTTACCTTACAAATGACCTTGTCATTAGCACCTGGTTTAGTCGAAATGACTGTTCCGTAAAAACGGAGTCCAGGTGCGTTAAAGTCGAACCTTCTTTTTAAAAGTTCACGGGCCTCAGTCTTTCTCAAATAGTGAGAAGAGACTCAAATAAGTGAATTAACAGCAGTACGTTTATCTTTTTCAGACATTTTGGGATTTGATTTTTTCAAGATGGGGACTATTCCAATGGTGAAATGGTCGAGATGGAAGCAAGTAAATTATTTTAAAAAAAGGTACAGTAATAATGCTCAAGGTTTACCGGTTTGATTCAATATGTTTTTATTGGACAAAAGATCAAAAGTCACGGAGAAATTGATTAAAACACCACCGTCCATTTGGGGCCGAATCGGCCCCAAATGGACGATTGAAATAGTACTTGTTAATAACAACATTGAATACTTTCAGTGCTAGAGTGCATCTATTTTATAATGAACAATTTTGGCTGAAAAGGACATTTTCAGAACTTAAAAGTGCCATTTTTACATTGTTGATTTTCATATTGTTTGACAGAGGAATCTAATTTATCACGGGCAAACGATTAACCGGGATATATCTGATAGATTTTTATGAATTTTTCACAGTTAAGCACCTCCCGGACATCTTTGGGTCTCACCACTGTAAATGGCCAATTTTGTTTTGCCATCTGTAAAACATTTTGTGGGAAAAAACAAATTCCAGCTCTATTAGTTTGTGGAGAACTCTCTAATAAAAAATGTAATAGAGCCGGATTTTGGATACCTGTTGAATTCATGGAGGAGATAGAGTTTTTGGTTTTTTTTGAAAAATCGGAGCCAAAAATTGTTCATTGTAAAATAGCTGCACTGTAGGCTGTAAATGTTTCTTTTAGGCTGCAATTTTTCTTTTAGGCTGCATTTTTTTTAGGCTGATAAAATGATTTGGTCTATATACTGCTACATCTCGCGGGACTCTCGAATGTTACCTGTATCTATAGGCGGCTGTTTGGCTAGTATGGTGTTAATTGGGCCCGTTAATAGTAAGTGCAAGAAGTATTATGGAGGTAAGTGCAAGAAGTATTACGGAGGTAAGTGTACCTTATCAATTTGGAGATGATAGTACAAAAATTATAATAAATAAAATAAAATACAAAATAGAAATTGAATAAAACAAAACGTTTTCATTTAAACCCTGCTTTTTTATTATATAATGTATTTCTTGATTGCACAACAGTATAAAGGTTCATCAGCATCAATAATAATATAGTTAAAGTGATGTAATAACGTGCGTACTACGTTCTGAAGGAAAGGACTCTATATTATGGTAAAAAGACGCCTCAACTGGAATTTAGTAGGTACTAGAAGTGGTATAAATACGCAGCATGCGGAAGAAACCCGTAACACTAGGTGGTAAAAACACGCAACATGAAGCAAAAACCCGCAACATTAGGTGGTATAATTTTGGGGTTTTACCACCTGTGGTGGTAAGTGTACTACAATTCCGCAACATAAGGTGTGTTGTATAGGGATTTCAATTACCTGAAGGCTTAATAAATCGTTCTTTTGTTACTCTTCCTTGACTATAATCTAACTTCCCACGTCGACTGGAAAGTATTAGATATCGCGCGAATTGGGGTTGTAAAAGGACTTAATTTTATTAGGTTTCAAGTTTTACGACTTTATATTGACGATGTGGGTGGGTATAGGGATAGGCATGAGAAAGGTGACGTAAAGGGGATATAATCTCAAATTGGTTCCAAAACATTTGATCGATTGTTAGTTCTTACTTGTTCCTTAACCTCTCTACGTGACTCGTACTACCATATCACAGGTGGTATAAAATGGACGTTTTTACCACCAAATTTTGCGGGTTTTTACCACATGTTTCGGGTTTTTACCACACAGTCCGCCACTGGGATTTAGAGAAAGAATTGCTACCGAGAACCAAGAAATTGTAAATTTGCTGCACGTTACTGTCAGTAATGGGCATTTGCTTAGAGAACAGCAATAGCAGTACGACTTTTTTGCTGCCGATTTTCCGATTGAATTTGGAATGGCTTTTACTTCCATGCCTTCGTCTTTTACCGGAGAAATTATCACCAGAATGCGAAATGACGGTGTAGGTGCCACAAGATTGTCTGAAAGATACACTTTTTGGGAGGTACAACGTCTTAACCTCAACGAAGACGACGAAAACCAAGTAGATCGTTTCCGTGCCACATATCGAATGGGAAGGGCCTCCTTTAATTGGCTTGTCAACAGGTTGTCTACTCATCCCGAATTAGATTTCAAGACACCAAACCACGCTCCTATCTACATTCAGATAGCTACCTGTCTTTTGAGACTGTCCAATTGTAATCTTGGATATAGAAGCACCTATGTCCTGTATGGTCTTTTATATGGCAGTTATACCAAATTCACGAGGCGTATGGTGAAGGCTGTCAACGATGGGCTTGGCTATATGATTGATTGGCCTACCAATTCAGTCATGGTGAGTGCTATATCTGCTGGATTTAACAAAGGTCCTGATATGAGTATTCCTGATGCAATTGGCGCTATTGATGGCAAACACTTTACCATTCATAAGCCAAATCCAGTCGCTTATGTAGCAGGGTTCCGGTGACGTAAAAACAATTAAACCGTTAAACTTACTGCTATTTGTGAGGCTTCATGTATGTTTACTTACATTCGTGTAGGAGACTTTGGTAATAATGACCAATATAAATATGAGAGTTGAAAACTAATTTACTTTGAATACACTAGGCAGAGGTCGAGACCACTCAGCTTATAATTTCAGTGATCTCAGCTGGAAGATCATGAACAATCTTTGGCATGACTTCCCTAAAGGATCTTATTTTCTCGGTGATTCGGCCTATCCGACCAGTGCCAATTTGGTTACGCCAATCCCTAAAAGTGAATGTCTCTGGGATCACCGCAAGAGGTTATTCAACTAGTCGCATTCAGCCAGAAGAATGGCCCTTGAAAGAACTTTTGGAAAGTTCGTTCATCGGTGGAGATTCACACAATTCCATATTTACGTGTATGATATTTTGGATATCAAGGACATCATCGGGTCGTGTGCTATTCTACACAATGCATGTAAGGCAAGCGGGGAGCTAGGTTACGATGATGTAGTTCTTGATCCTGCTGATCTTGTATTTGGAGAGCAGGTGTAAGAGTTGTGATACTCGACCACTCAGATTTATATATCTGATAATTATAATAAATGAAACTCAGTTCAAATTACTTCTCTTCCCTTTACTCTAACATTGGTGGAGTAGCTTAAAGCGTATATTAGTGCATTTTGTTATTACAACCCTATATCGCTTTTAAAACATATATTTAAGTTGTGTTTACTCATTCTGAAATGAGCGGGAATATCGATAATGGTTCTTCCAACTGGAGTTTGGATTTACAACCTAGTCAACAACCCGAGGAATGGATTCCTAGTCAAGCTATGTTTTTTCTCAATAAGAAATATGAGACAGAGGTCGCTGCAATTAGAGAACAACATGCTATGTGGATCAGTCAACAGAACGAGTTACATAGTCAACAAATTAAACGTATGGAACAAGAAGTAACAGAGGAGAGAATTCGTTGGACAGAACAGGACGAAAAACGTATGAATGAAATGAAAGCTTTGTTCAACCAACAATTATAAACTACAAGTAATTCGGTCGAACTACTAAGAGCAGAAGTCAACCAACTCCGTCGTGATCTTGGAGAGTCAATAGAACAACTTAAGGTGAAAAATCATAAAATTGAAAATTATGAAATTCAAATCGATGACCTTTCGAGTCATTGTTCGGAATACCACGAGAAAAATAATCAATTGATGGATGATTTGGCAAAATCCCAAATAACCTATGATAGACGTCGAGTAGAAAATCGCAGATTATTAACTAAATTGGAAGAAAATTCCAAATCGACACCTTTGTACGAGCAACAAACGACGTTGGAGACACAGGAACAACCTTTAATGGTCACAGCATTTAACAAGATGTGATTTGAAGTAACGTGATTTTGCCTCTTTTGTAACTCCACCCTTTTTTTTGTTTATTCCATGCTCCTGCCTTCAAATATAAAACGTTGTATGCGAAAGCATCATCGTCTTCCCTTCTCTTTTTTTTTTCTCTTCTTTACTTTATCTTTTCTCCTTTTAATTTTCGACACACTGGTAAGTTTTAGCTTAAGCATTGGCATCTAGCAGTCGTTAATTGTATGCTGTGAAGTGTAGTTGTGTGTCATTTTGTTGTAGTTGTAGTTTCTTTTGTTGTCTTCCCATTCAATTCACCCATACCAACTTGGTGGTAAGATTTTCTCCCTCCTGTTTACTTTTAACTTCTGTTCACATAATTGCATTTCTTTTAGTTGGTTCTTTTATTTCAATAAATAATCCATCATAAATAGCAGTCAAAAACTATCGTCATAATTTAGATGGACACAAGATTATTAGATTAGCAAAGAACCGCATCTCCTATTCCCCTCAGTTTACATCATACTGAAAAGCAACAAGAAGAAAACTCTTTTCACTCTGATGCGCATTCGACGTACAGTAATGCAGTAAATTGGGACAACTTCTCGGTAGGTTCAGCAACACCATCTCAGAATTTTCGAGCCCAGCAATTTTCTTCGTCACACCATGTTAATTCAGGACAGGCAACAGCTGCTAATCCAAATAAACAGAATCGTCGTAAGCACCCTACACCACCTTTCAATGGCGTCGGGCGCCCCATAGCTCAAGAATGCTTAGCTAACTTTCGTAAACTCATTGTATATCATAAATATACTGATGACGAATGCATTGATGAGTTTATGATGGCAATGCAAAGCTATGCCAATAAGTGGTGGGCAACAGTAGATGAAGCTACAAGAACGGATTTCCAAGCCATCGTAACGGCTTTCCAGGCTTTCTATGGCGGAGAGGATGAGGCGATGGCTAAAGCTATTGCAGCCATGCGTACCATGAAACAAAGTGATGAAGCGATGACTTCGTTTGGCACAAGACTATTGTTAGAAGTAACCACAATTGCCAAAGATAATAGTCAACTACAACTCAATTATGTTTATGGTGCAGTAAATACGTCCGTGAGTGAAGCGGTTTTGCCTACTCGGCCAAAGAATATTTTGGAAGCAATTGGAGTTGCAATCGAAGTAGAACAAAACATACGGTACAGCTCATTCCATTCGTCTAACAGCACTGCGAAGATTCCTTCAGCGGCAAAAATCTGGCCTCCAATGGGTACCGAAAGCCGTGGAGATGATCCAATGGAATGTGATATTAATGCTCAACAATATCGAGGCGGGAAGAGTTTTCAAACCAAAGGTAATTCAAATAAATCTCGACAATGTTTCATATGTGAAAGAACGAATCATGTCGCAAAAGATTGCATTTTGTTGAAAAAAGCCAAGGCATTAAACGACTCGGAGAGCAAGGAGAAGAAGTCTAAGAAGAATGAAGGTCATCCAAAATCTTCTGGCAACAGAAGTAACAACGCACAAACCGCGGAACCGATTGATAATGGGGGACGTTCAGGGACTGAGAGTGCGAGTATGGAGAAGGATATTACTAACCATTTGTTTTACAAGATGATGTTTCCTTCGGACAGTCCGGCTTTCAACCACAGTCAACTCTTTGATAACAAGAATGAGAATCTAATGCCTACTTTATGTGGCAGTAGTGGCGACCCAACATCATTTGTTTTAAATGCAGAGGTAAAAAACGGGATCGACGATAGAATTATGACCACCAAAGTGTTGATGGATACCGGAGCAAATATTTCTACTATTTCGGAAGAGGAAGCACATCGACATGGTCTTACTTTTGTCAAGGTACCGCCTATCAAGATAACATATGGTAACTCATCAAGCGGAATATCCAATGAAGCTGTATGGATACCATGTACAATACAAAATATGTTATTCAAAAAGTTCGTACTATGAGTGGTGCGAACTCAGAATGTTACTACCATTTTTGGTATGGATTGGTTTTTGGAAATGAAGTTGCTAATTGATCCATTATATAAACAACTACTTCGTCGATCATTATTACTAACTGGACATATCAACTCTGCAGTAGCATTGGAAGATGACAGAGAACTAGGGCTAATGGAAGGTATCCCCCCGGAAATTATCGATATCTTACTTTTGAACAGACAGTTATATGATGAAACAGAAGTACAAACAATTACTAACGCTCCGGTTTGTCATGTCATTAACATGGGGGACAGCCCTCCTATCGTAACTAGAGGTCGCAGACTATCGCCAAAAGAGGAGGAGGTCGTAGAGGAAACGAATCGAGACATGCTAAAAAGAAACGTGATTAGACCAAGCAATTCTCCTTGGTGCGCGAACCTAGTCGTCGTTCCTAAACCAGATGGATCCTTACGATTTTGTGTAAATTTTCGCCAACTCAACAAGGTAACAAAAAAGACAAGTACCCCGTTGAACGAATGGACACCTTAATTGATAAACTATCTGGATCGACGGTGTTCTCAGGTATTGACTTAAAAGCGGCATACTGGCAAATTCCAATACGAGAAGAGGATAAATGTAAGACGGCATTCCGTACAAGATCTGGTTTATTCGATTTAATGTACTGGCATTTGGCCTATGTAATAGTCCTCCTACCTTTTGTCGATTCTTAAATACACTACTAGCGAGTGTATCTAGTTAAACAGTCATTTACCTAGATGATATTCTTTGTCACGCAAAAACTAGAGAAGAAAACATCATTCAAGTTCGCGAAGTATTGCGCATATTAAATCATTGGAATATCAAAATCAACCTAAAGAAATCCTCTTTTTTAAAAGATGAAGTGAAGTTTCTAGGGTTTATCGTGTCTGGAACTGGAGTAAAGAGTAACCCCGTCAAAACATGGCCCATTCGAACATGGCCTGAACCAACTAACGTAAAACAGTTACAGCAATTCTTGGGAATCTGTATTTTTTACCATAAATTTATCGCTAATTTATCGATGCTAGCTAGTCCATTATATGCGTTGTTGAAGAAAGGTACTGAATGGACGTGGTCAAAGGAATGCTCCCAAGTTTTTGGAATATTGAAAAAAAGATTATGTGACCTCCCAGAATTAGCATATCCGCAACGTCATTTACCATACGAATTACATTGTGATAGCAGTAATTACGCTCTAGGTGCTTGTTTAGTAGAAGATGGTGGTCCTATCGCGTTTGCCAGTCCAACACTGAATAGAGCACAACAAAATTATTCTACAACGGAAAGAGAATGTCTTGCGGTGGCTTTGTCGTTAGGTTATTTTCATTGTTATGTTTATGGCGTATCATTTGTTATTTACACTGATCATGCCGCGTTGAAGTCGTTACTTGCCACAAAAGACCCCAAAGGCCGTATTGCACAATGGATTGTGGATATTTGGTCATATGACTTTACACTCTTACACCGGAAAGGACAGGATAACTTGGATTCGGATGCGTTGAGTCGAATTGAACGATCTAAAGAAGATATAGAAAATGAAAAGACTCTACACATAATGGCCCAGGGAGCTGACAGCAATACTCCAGCAGATAAGTTGCGGAACGGTCAGAAAGAGGATATTAAAATTCAAGAAGTTCTGTCACAACCTGTTATAACACATCCATTTGTGGTAAAAGATCATATATGATGTCGTATTAACAAAAAAGGCGATGTTCTATTGGTTATCCCGGATCCAATGAAGACTGATTTTTTACAAGCGGTTCATGATCATCCAACTAGCGGTCACAGTCGTCGGGACAAGACACTTGAAAAAGCACAAGCGAATGGCTGGTGGTGGACGATGCATGAGGATGTTATTCAGTATGTAAAAAAGTGTCAAGGATGTAAAGTGATACAAGTCCTACACACAAATTCAAGAAATTGACGAGCATGGAACCAATTGGATATCCAGCTCAATATTTGGCAGCAGATGTGGCGTTTCTCCCAGAAACACATCGTGGCAACAAATATCTCCTGGTTTTCATGGATTACTTCACGAAATGAACAATCACCGCAGCCTTAATATTTTTGATACCGATTCTATCGCAAATGGCATGTTATATTTGTTAATACCGGTATCTGTTACACCACTCCGGTTTATAACAGACAATGGGTCAAATTTTGTCTCTAAAGCAATGATGGCTATCTGTCAACGTCTCAACATAAAAAAAATCCAAACCAGAGTTGAGCACCCGCAAAGTGATGGTCTAGTGGAAAGAATGAATACAACAATTAAAGCTTCACTCTCTATCTATTGGGAAGAGGATAAACGTACATGGGACGATTATCTACCTTTTGTTACTTTTGGAATCAACACGTCAAAACAAGCGTCAACTGGTTTCACTCCCTTTGAAGCCATGTTTGTTAGAAAAGCCAAAATTCCAGCTCTTTCAAATCTACCACAAATATAGGCTCAGAATTATAACACGCAAACATGGATGCACTATCTTAATCACTACATACCATTATTGCAGGAGGATATCCGAAGTAATATTCAAAAAAGTCAATTGAACCAGCTAAATACTACAATCGTAATCGGAACAAGAACGAGAAGTTCGAGATTGGCGATCATGTTTGGAAAATCAAGATGAAAGAAAATTAGAAGTTTGCCGAACCAAAGTTCACTGGTCCGTGGAAAATCTTCAAGTTTACAAGCAAAAACAAATATGCGTTTCAAGATCAACAATAAAAATAGCAAGAGAAACCATCGGCCCAAAAGAACAACAGCGAATATCAAGGATATTTACAGAGCTTAGATATTAGCTACGAGTATTAGAATTATTATTATAAAGTATCATTTATTAGTTAGTGAGTTAGTATAAAGAATACCCTTTGTGGGGGGAATAGTGTAAGAGTTGCGATACTGGAGCACTCAGATTTATATATCTGATAATTATAATAAATGGAGCTCAATTCAAATTACATCTCTTCCCTTTACTCTTACAGCAGGGTGATTCATGTGTTATAGGTCACAGTGCCCGCCTGCACATCTTTAATACAGGTTTTCCTTAAATTTGTTAAGGACTAAATTTTTTTTTAAAAAAAAAAAATTTATTATTGAAAAAAAAGCCAGTTATAATTTTGTCGATGTGATGAGGTTTATATTCATCGGACGAAGGATAGAGTGCATCTGCTTTTAGGTGGTACCTAAAAAAAATTTAAGCAGAGACAAATATTTAGATGGGTAAAACACATTTTCTTTATAATTAATATCCCATCTGAAAGGTTAGGATTGTTTTTTATGTTGAATAAAATGAGAATCTACATATATTAAATTAAAAAACATAACAGATTCTGGATTCCACATTTTTTTTTAGGTGGGGGCGGGGGAAAAATGTCACAACCTGTACAAAAAGGTTTTAGAGCCAATAATAACCTACCGCTAATATCATTAGCCGTGTTCGGATTTTGAAATAACCCACTGTTTGTGCTCACGATTTACAAAACCGCGCACAGACTATATAATCGTTAGCAATGGCTTGAAATAACTTCAACCTTTTTTGTGTACTTGGTAGAACTACTTGAATTTTAAAATATACATTAGAACAAATATTCTTAAGATGCGTGACCCATTTTAAAAATAATTTATCTATTGAAAGGCTGGAAATATTGATTTGAAATTGTTTAGAGACAGCCTATGAAATCGCAGACGGAGGCTTAATATCACAAACCCTGAAAAAGGATAAAAAAGTTTAAACTTTTTTATGTACTAAGTAGAACCACTTGTAATTTCAAATATATATTATAAAGTATATTCTTAAGATGCGTGACCCTTTTTAAAATTAATGTATCAATTGAAAGGCTTGAAATATTGATCTGAAGTTGTTAAGAGACGGCCTATGAAATCACAGCCGGAGGCTCAATATCACCAACCCTGAAAAAGGGTAAAAAAGTTTAAACATTTTTTATGTACTAAGTAGAACCACTTTTAATTTAGAATATATATTATAAAGTATATTCTTAAGATACGTGACCCTTTTTAAAATTAGTATATTTATTGAAAGGCTTGAAATATTGATCTGAAGCTGTTTAGAGCCGGCCTAAGAAATCGCAGCCGGAGGCCCAATATTACTTCCACTGAAAAATTTTCTTCAAAAAAAAAAAAAAAAAATCTCCCCCACATAAAAAAAATCTGGCTATGAATAAATTTCCTTTTATATTACTTGTACTAGTCGGAGATGAACGCTCAAAAATGTCACAAAACACGTTAGGAACTACTGAAAAGCAGATGCACTCTAAGTGATTTCAAGCAAATCTGACAGAACAGGAGAAACCGTCGTGACACTGCCGTTGATCGTAATATCATTCGTAGAGGGGGTCGAGGCAGTGTTGTCGGGGAAGGTGTTGTTGGGGAGGGTGCTGTTGACGACGATGTTGCTGGTGTGGGTGTTGTTGACGTCGATGTTGTTGTAGACGCTGTTGATTCTGGCAGATGAACTGTTGAACTGATAGTCATAGGCTTCAGGAATACCATTGACATCAGGGCGGAACTAGTGGCTGGTTTTGTTGGTGTAGTCCTAGCCACCGTTTTCAAACGCATTGTAGCTGGTAGCGTTCTTGTTTCTTGAGCCGAAACCCCTTCTCAATACCATCAGCATCTGGCGCTGAATATCCAAACTGCCCTGCATCTGCTCAGCGATGCGAGACTGCACCTGGTCCCGTTTCTCTATTGACTCCAACATCGGACCAAAAACCGTTGTCGAACAAGCAAGATATCTATTGAACGTTCAACGCACGGGCTCTACATGATCAAAACAACGTGCCTCAATCTCATTCATAGAGGTGACCAGATGCTCGATCGTTTGGTCGACCGCTCTACTTTAACTGGCAGCCCAACGAGCCACACCTTTCTCAGCACCATCGTTGTTGACGGCTATTACTTGTCTAGCACCGCAACTTTACCACGATTATCTATTGTTTCTCCAGCAAGAGAGGCATACACAGTAGTTGGCGTCACGGTGGGCACCTCACTGGTGGGGTTCTCCATCGCATCATGGTAAACCCAGTTTTCAATTCGTGCCGTACCAGTTGGATTTAACCTATCATAGCGATCTCTGAAGGCAGCACAGAGAGCATACCACTTAGACTTCAATGGACTCAAAGGTCAGCTTCCATTGGTGATGTTTTTGGTCTTGAATGAGTGCAACATGCACGGTACAATTCATTTCGTTCAGCTAGAGTACGATTGGACTCCAACCGCTGGTTGTACTCAGCATACAATTCAATAAGAGCAAAGGTGCTAGCTGAATTCCATTTTGAGCGCGTGTATCTGGTATCCGAAACTTAATAGTGGCAGCAGCATCCGTGGCATCAGTAGTGGCAGTAGCAGGTGCAGCAGGGGAAACGGCAGCAGCAGTAGGAACGACGACAGGAACCTCCTGTTCTTCTGAAACAGTAGTAGCATGGGACGGTTGCTACCATTGGTTACACGATTCGATGTCACTTCAATAAATTGGTGATTGATTGGGTTGTTGTTGTTGTTTTGATTGTTCATTTTAAAAAAAATAAGGTAAGGAAGCAGTTATAAAAGTTATTTTGTATTTCTGAATTTTAGTAGTTCATTTTAGGACCGTTTATTACTGGAGGCTTCACATTCAATGCCAACAGATTTTCATTTTTAAGCAGTAGATTAATAATAAAAAAATATTGCAACATTATTTTTGACAGAATTCAATTTAGGAAGAAAATATTGATAAAAAAACATTTTTTTTAACAAAAAAAAAGGGTAAATCTTGATACACGGTCGATTTACACGGTTGATTTGAAGTACCGACCCAAAAATATTAAAAAGCATGACGTAGACATTAAAAAGTTCAAAAAGCGTGACGTAGACATTCAAAAGTTCAAAAAGAGTGACGTTTCATATTTTAGAGATCGTGTATTTGAAAAATGTGGGGTAATGAACAAATTTGGCACTACTGCTTTCTCTTTGCTATAATTTTAATGTTCTCTCAAACTAGAAATGTGCGTGACAGCATGCATGCTGAATTCAATCGTACATTTGCTGTAGATAAACACTTTGAGACAAGGGAAGAACTGAAGAATGCGATCAGTACTTTTGGAAAAAAATACAACGTAGTCTTTTCCATTAAAGACTCTCATCCTGGTAAAGGTCAATATGCTTACATCTGTAAGCACGGTGGCTTTAAGCGTGATCTTGGAAAGAAAAATACGACACTTGTTGATGAGGTTACCGAAGAAATTATTGACCTTTCACAAAACGTTTCTTCCGTGCCTGAAACAAAAACAGTCTATCAAAAAAGTACCCAAAAGTTTCTTTGCCCTGCTTCGATTACTTTGTTTGGATTAACTGTAACCAAGAATAATATGATCCACAATCATCCAATTTCACAAGACGTTACCACATATGCCATTCATCGCAAGCAAAGCCCCGAAATTATGGCCAGAATTTATTCTCTTTTGGCCAGTGGACATAAAGACCCTGTCACCAGTGTCATGGATGTAAGTATTCTTATTAATAACACAAAATATCTCATGTGTTCATTATATATACGTTATCAGACCTTAAAAGCTTTGAATGTGAACAATATAATCAAAAAAGATATCCAGAACATCCAATCTTTCTATTTGAACGACAATGGAGGAAAAGAGATGTATTCACTTATCACCGAGCTGGAAAATCTTGGGTACGTTATTCGTATCCAGGTCAAAGAAAACCAAGAAGTAAAGGGAATGTTTTTTATTCACGAAAAAGCAATTTCTGAAGCTAGACGCTGGCCCGAGGCTATAACAATTGACGCCACCTACAAGACAAATGCCCACAAAATGTCCCTCGTCAACATTGTTGGAACCAGCAACGCCTCCTCAGTCAAAGGAGGAAACCGTTTACAAACCTTTTCCGTTGCAGCCGCCTTTGTGAACAGCGAAACTGAGGATACTTACCAATGGATTTTGGAAGAATTAAGGGAAGCTGTTTGGCCGACTGAAACCAGTTTCAAGTTGCCCTCCGTTATTGTCACTGAGAACGAACAAGCTTTACGCAATGCAATTGAGACAGTTTTTCCAGAAAGCCAGCATCTGCTTTGCTCATGGCATCTTTGGAATACGATGTCAACAAAGCTGGCTATTGGCAAGGTCACTTCGGTAGAATATAATTTGCGTGTCGCTGAAGCCGAAAGTGAATTTAAGGCTATGATGAATAGCTCGGATTTAACTTCGTTGCAAAAAGCAAGTGATCATTTTCAGCAGATCATCACAACTGTTGGATATTTTAAGGAAGATGGACAGATAGCGTTGTCTTATTTGAGAGACGTGTAAGTATTTGTAATTATACATGCTCTTAATTTATATATCAAAATTAATTTTGCTATTTTAGTTTGATGAAGGAGGACGAAATGAAACGATGGGCTGGATTTTATGCCAACCAACATGTTCATATGGGAAATAGAACTTCTGGTAGAGCCGAAAGTTTCCATTCTGGATTGAAGAAAGCTTTGGGAAGCCAATCTGCTTCGAGGATGAGCTTGACAACCAAGCGTATGCATGCGTATTACGAAAAAAAGGTATGATCGATTTACAATTATTTGTCTTCGGAAACGTGTTAAAATAACATAATCCAACTTTTAATTTTTAGAGAGAAGATAGGTACAGAAGGTTGGCAATAGAAAGAATAAGTATCAGCTCTGTTATTTTTGATGAAAGTCGTGAGTATCGCTTTAAAGATCTCGCCTTTAAAGTTGTCCGTTTCGCGATGGATAAGATAAGAACAAACCTTGTTGTTTCGCTGCAAGATTCGTTTCTGTCCAAAGGCAAGGACTGTAACTGCTGGGATCGTGTTAGATATAATCTACCATGCCCTTGTATTATCAGTAACAATCCCGGAGTGCTTCCGTTGTCGATTGTAGATAAACGTTGGAGATTTGAGCGTGATGAAGGTATTGTATAGAAGAAGAAAAGAAAGACACATGTTTGCAAATATAGATGGTTTTAATGATGTCTGCCTTTTAGATTACGAAGAGGCTAACGAAAACAAAGATGAAGGTAAAGCCATGGCAGAGAATGTTAGCGAGAAGAAAAACGGTAAGTTCTTTTTTTATCTTGCAGTTATGGGAAGTAAAATGAGGGGGGGGGTATGATATACCTGTATATGGTTGTATTGCTATTTCGGTAAATATATTTAAATAAAACGAAATCGTTCATCAATTGTGATATATTATAAATGGTACACTACACTTTTTGTTGTGTTGCTTAAATGTATGTGATGATCATTATTGTTCGATATGTGTTTTTAAAAGTTTTATGAAATTATATCCTATAATATTGTGAGTAATTTAAGAAAATAGAAAACTAATAAAGTTATAATCCCAATTATTTAATAATAGACGAAGTGAATGTGGAAAACGAAGTCAAGGCCAAAGTTACGAGTACAAATGCAGCAAAAGCAAGGTATGATCTTGATAGAGAAGGTGAGTTAAACAGAAACAGTATTGCTGCATTAAAATTAAATAGATAAAACAAAAACAAAAATAGACGACGAAATTGTAGATACCACTATTCGGGTTCAGGAAGGTAATTTGTTCACAAATTCATATTTTTTATAAAACAAAAGTTGATGAGGATGAAAAAAGTGAAGAAGAGTGCTGCAATGAGGATGGAAAAAGTATGCCAGCTAAAAATGACACACCTTTGCCGTCCAAAGGTAATTTTAAATAAATTATTCCACAAGTAAAAAAATAGGAACGCTCAATATTTTATTGTTATAGAACGTACAGAAGAGGGACCAGAGAACAACAGAGAAAGGATGATTCTCCGTGTTGAGAAGCTTTTGCATGGTATGTTTACCAAAATAAACTCTTTGGGAACGCAACAAGAAGTAAGTGATGCTATTAAAGTATTAGAAAAGGCCGATTTGGATATCAAAGAGCCAGTAATGAAAATGGACGAGCTGCAACCCCCATCTGTAAATACAAACAGAAAGGGACGCAAGTCGAAGCGTGGTATCAAAAGTAGCACCGAGAGACTGAAGATTGCGAAGGAGCTATTCGACGAACACCAGCTGAAGGAGATAAAAAAAAAGGAGAAAAAAGAAAAGGAAGAGGAAGAATTTGAAAGAAAAAGAAAAAAATTGTTTTTCGAAAAAAGAGAGGTAGCTCTTGAACAAAAGAAAAGAAAGTTGACCCTTTTTGTTTCTCAAGACCCCAACTATACCAAAAGTGATGTGAAAATTGAAAAAGAAACATCGCATTATGATCGGTACGAGAAATGCAGATAAAAACGTTATATATAAACTTACATGTAAACGATTGTTAGAGTCACTTCTTACCGTAATGCTAAAAAGGATGTAGCATTTAATTGGATTCATATCCAACCTAAAAATGTTATTGCTGCAATTCATGACCTCGGGGCTGATGGAAATTGTGGCTTTAGAGCTGTAGCATTAGAGGTATTTAACGACCAAAGTAAATGGATAAAGGTTAAACATCAAATGCTTGAAACCTACCTCAAATACCATGATACCTTGTATAAGCCAGTTGATGAAAAGGTAGTCGAATTGGAAAGAATCAAGATGGTCAAACGGTTGAACTCTACTAAATCACCATGTCTCAACCAAGAGGATCAGATATTGTGGTTTAGTACGTTCAGCTGTCCACAGGTTGTAGCCGATGCATTCGAACGTCCGGTAATCCTCTTTTCGTATGTCAAATATCCATTGAAAGAAACTGGAGAATTTAGAGAAAATCGTGAGGCACAAGTTTTTTTTCCGTTGATCAACATGCCGCTTCAAAATGTTGAAAAACCAATTACGCTTCTTTACTCGTCATCACATTTCTACGTCGTCGAGTTCCATCGTACACCAACAGGACGTATAAAAAAATTTGAAAACCTGTTGTAGATATGGATCATGATCGTTTAAGACGATCATACCCTGATATCTGCAGCGAACAAGATTATGCAATCCTTTATTAAATACTTCCTTAAACAATTTTTCTTAGTTCTTCAAAAAAAAAAAAAAAAATTTACTCTCAATAAAAATTCGTATTACTTATATGTCTTGTTTATATTTTTTCTTAATTTCGTATCGTATTTTAAAGATTCTTTACTTTAACAGTTAATGTTTTTTAGCTTTAATCACTTCACACACACTATGTTTTTTTTACCTTATTATCTTCAATTCGTTGCATTAGAAAACTATGCCAAATTCAATTACAAATTGTTCATAATTTATTTAATTTGGGTACCTTCTTAACTAATCCATACGAAACACTTTGTTTGTTTGCAGAATTCAGAAAACTATTTTAATGCCAAAACTTTATTGTTTAAGCAAATACTGGAGCACACAACCAAAGAGTGGCTCTTGTTGATACTGCTTATATGCAAAAACCTTTTTCCCAAATTTGTATCTTTTTTCCCTTTCCCGCACTTTTCAAATACACGCTCAGTACACGATCTCTCAAATATGAAACGTCACTCTTTTTGAACTTTTGAATGTCTACGTCACGCTTTTTGAACTTTTTAATGTCTACGTCATGCTTT